GTCAGAGTTATGAGTGCAGACTGCAGTGCCAGTGAGCCAGTGACTGCAGTCTTGGTCACTTGGCGCACGCGATTATCATCAATGTCCATTATCCCCAGTCATCAGTATTCACTCACCAATCACTTGCAGGCTGCAGCACGCGATTGTCATCAATGTCATTGTCCCCAGTCAACAGTATTCACTCACCAATCACTTGCAGGCTGCAGCACGCCAAACCCAAATTTTAACCTCAATAAGCTTTTTATTGTTTTTTTTTGTAAAACAAGGATTGTTTTATATTAGAGTTTTATCATAAAGCTAGCTTCTGGGGGTTTTAAAAATATTTAAAAATAATAATATTAATAATAGGGGTCCCCGGCCCGGGCTCGGGCTTCTCCTATTATTTATGTGGCAGTACTCAATTACTCTCTAAATATATAGTTGTATATATTTTATAAAAGTTATAAGTTTAGAGTTTAGAGTTTAGACTGCATTGTTTTTGTTTAATATATATATATATATATATATATATTTCTGAAAATTGGACACAGAAGCCAGAACTTCAGAAGTGAGATTCAGGAATTTCAGATTTGAGAAGGTTAAAAATATGATATTTGCTGTAAAGTATAAATTTAAACAACAAACAAACAAAAAAAACAATTGTACTCTTCATATATATTACTTTGGCTTGATTTTATATCAACTGAGATACAAATTTCATTTGGAGTTCATCGGGTTTCCGGCTTTCCGCTGACAATTAGTCGCAATTATGTATTTACAGTAGTGTCAAATAGTCAATTATGTATTTATATGCGCTATATTTTTATATAATGTTGAAAACGTAGTATGTTTTACATTAATGATCAGTTTTGAAACCGTTCTCCCGTTTTCAGATACTATGTATACTAATAAAAGCCAATTATAAAAACCTATTTTGGTTGGATCTTTACTATGTATTCAGTAGAAAATCTGCCCAATTAACAACAAACCAGCCCATCTTTTGGCAAAATATAGTTGGCGGGCTATGCTAAAAATAATGGCGGGCCTAAAGTGAATTAACGCATCGATTTGGAAGCATGTCTACGTTTTACGAATAAAAGTCTGCTCTACAGTCCAGTCTACTGTCTAAGAGTTTTTTCATAGCCTCCTAAGTTGTTGTTTTGTAAAAAAAAAGGCAATTCAGTTATTCAAATCATGTTCTGTCATCTGATGTGTGGGGCTAATTGGGCTAGGTAATTCTAACCGTTTATTACTCTTGGTAATATAACGACTGTCTCATGTAGTATGGCTAATTGGGCTAGGTAATACTAACCGTTTATTACTCTTGGTAATATAACGACTGTCTCAGCCTCTCAGGTCCCACTAACGTAGGGCTAGTGAGTAGAAGAGATCCTCTGATCCTATATCCTAAAGCCATCAGAGAATCTCATCGAATATCCAGGTCACATGGTCCTCATATTCATCATCCAAAGTCCAGTCCAGAAGGTCTCATTCGAATAGTCCGGTCCAGTAATAGTAGGACAGGGCACAGAGAAGATCCTGTCCTATCATTCCGTCCTGTCAGTCCAGCCCTAATCCAATAGAACAGGGCACGGAGTATATTCCATACTACATTCTACAGTACAATTTTGCGGATCGCGTGACGTATTTACAATTGCGAACGTATTGCAGTATTTCTTTAAAGTGAGAACTGTGAAGTATTTTTTAGTAGTAGACATAGCAGAGTAAAAAATACTGACTCTCTCTACTCTAATCTACAATCTATTTCATATATAAAACTCATATATACTCAATCAACGCTCAATCTATTGCCGTAAATTTGAACACAAACAAATAGAGATAGAGTATGTACATAGAGATTAGAGACAATTATTAAAAAAAAAAATGACGACTTTGTCCATACGACACCTGTCACTATAAAATTCTTAACGTCGGAGCCGGTGTCCCTGAGGCCTGAGCCCTGAAGGCTGAGAGGCTGACCTGAGTGGCTGAGTCTCTGATCTAGAGAGAGTGCTATGTTGAATATAAACCCTAAAACTGGCCCCTACTCTCTCTCTTAGACTTTCAGTCTCCCTCGCTCTCTATGTACTGTGTAAATACTCTACCGTCTACAGTCTACTAGTTGTGACTTGTGAGTTGTGACCTCTCTTCTTGTGAGTTGTGATTTGTGAGTTGTGACTTCTTGTGTTGACTGTTCGCTGTTGTGAGTTTGTGACTTTGTGAATGTATGTGACTAGGTGTACTGTGTAGTCAGTAGTGTGTACTGTGTTACGTGTTGTGAGGAGTGAGTGGTGTCATTCTAGAGAGTAGAGAGTAGAGAGCGAGTAGAGAGATTGTGCTGTGAGTGTGAGAGTCTGGCAGTCTGTGAGGTTGCACACAGACTCACACTTGCACTGTTGCTGCCTGTGATGCTGTCACTTGTTTTGACTTGGGCCGGATGTACGGCGTAAATACGTAAATATGTAATATTTAAAATAAATATAAAAGCTTTACATATATGTCTAATTTTTTAGACGGCTATGAACAAGTCTACAGACATTTTAGGGTGGTTTTTTAAAAACAAATCAATGTGTACTCGCTGCTCTGTGACTTGATCAAGTAGTAAAAAAATACCTTTTTTTAATAAAATGAATCTAAACAGTAATTGTTGTCCTATTCAACATTTTATAATTGTTTTATTTTAAAAAATTAGGTAGTGCCAAACCGGTTTCGCAATTTATTTTTAAATTTAAGAGCCAAAATGAGAGGTCTTCCGACAGACCTCATACCGTTATACGTTGCAACGTTTTAAAACCATTGCGGAAGCGTAAAATGGTTAACTATTTGATGCGTTACATAGTCCCAAAATTCATAAAAGGGGTCGTTTCTGGGTCATAGTATTTATCCACCACGCTCGGGCCCGCGGGCCACGGCCTCGCCGCCCCTCCCTCATTTTCCTGTCGGTACGGTTAGAAAGGCCCGCCAGACCTCTTATGGGCAATACTAGTGTCGATTCTTTTTTGTTTTAGCATACAAACATAGTTAGTAGTATGACTATGGGGTTGTTTGATTGTGTGTTTACTGAGTTACTGTTGTTGTTGTGTAATTGTGTGTATAATTGTATATATACCTGCAACGGATTGCTAACAAGTACACTTTCCGTAACACGTATATCTTTTATAAACACGCCAGTATGCCTAAGCCTTTAAGCCTCTATGCGTCGAATGAAGTGTGTATTTATTCAGTTTTTAGTACGATGTAAAGACATGTAGCAAAAAAAAAATCAGGCCAAAATATACAAGGATACAACGTTTTCAATTCAGTACACAAACGTAAAACGTCACATCACATACATACTTCTTTCTTGCTCTGATATTAGTCGTGATACTCAAATCTCAAAATCACTCACAGAGGTCAGAGTGTCTGACTCTGTCCGTCGTCAGAGGTCACGCGATCAAGTGTGATTTATGTATGAGTGATGAGAAGGCTCAGGCCTCAGAGCCTCAGACTCAGAGTTCGGGGTAGGGTCGCTGCATCGTTTAACGTTAATGTAATCTTTTCTTTTGTATAAACGTAACGTACCCGGTTGAACAATGAGAAACAGAAAATGCATGTCAAGTTGTCAACCAGCAGATGAAAATGTTGTTAAAAGTTTAGCGCTATTAGCATCGTAATCTATGCGTTTTACTTTATATAAAGATATTCTGTATAATTGATGAGAAGGCTATGCCGCTATGGAAATGTACTGTAGCAGTCTTCTATTTATAAAAAAAAACAGCTCATTTATCGTTACAACTGTTACGGTTACAGTTCATTGTTAAAAATATATGAAAAAAGTTGTATTTTACTATTTGTATAAATAGTAAATACAATACAGTATAAAAATTCATACTGCAGTCATACAGACATCACTCTCTAGTAGTCTCTACTCTCTACTGAAATTGTCACTCTCTAGTAGTCTCTACTCTCTACTGAAATTGAAAATTCAGTGTATTTTGTTTCAATTGTTATATTTCGAATAATATATTCTACTACATTTAAAAAATAAATAAAAATACAGTACATTCGAATGTACAAATGTTTTTGTTTAAAAAATATAACACATATAAATTTATTTTTACTGTTCTTAGGTCTCTTGGTACTATCTTTGCGTACGTCTGTGGACTCTAGGCCTCAGGCCCGAGGGCGGGCGTGGCCGGTTGCCGATTTGTGAGTGCCAGACTGCCAGTGCCAGGCTGCCAACTTTGCCCTAAGCTCTTGGAAATTTGACTCAGAGACTGTCCGAGTCGGTCCGTCGGACTGTCACTATACTGCCCTTTTTTTTTGGGTTGAAATTTGGGTTTTAAAAATTATATAAATAAATACACAAAAGGCATGAAATTCAGAAATTGTGATTGACTGATTGATTGATTGTAGTGTCAGCAGCGCCTCTAAAATCCAAATACTAATAGAGGAGACTCCAGACTGGCCAGAGTCCAGTTTCCAGAATCCAGAACTCCAGACTTCCCCCAACAGTCAGGCCCCAGGACTCCCCAGGGGGGTGCACTCCTCTCTCTCTAGCCTCTGGAGGCTCTCTGGGCCCTGAGGGCTGAGGCTGAGGGAGAGCTGCCGTCTGGGGACTGGCTGACTGGGGTCTGGGAGCCTGGGAATCTTCTTGTGAATGTAATAAATATTCGTTTTAGAAAAAAAGTACCATTGGCTATTGGTTTAGTATTTTTGAAAAAATAAGAAGAAAAATAATGAATTTCTAGACAAAATATTTATTTTTATTGTTGTTAAATAAATAAATAAATATTTATTCTTTAAGAAACGAGAGCTATTTATTGGAGATTGTGGGTAGTGTTTTTTAAAATAAATACATTTGCAAATAGAGGTTTTGTCTATGTTTATTGAAAAGAAAAGTACTTTTATAGACACTAGCAAAAGAAAAAAAATAATCATGCGATTCAAATGATGCGAGTATTTACTTGTTATATATATATATGTAGCGCTAAAATTGCAGATTCATAATAATGCATATATTGTAGTTCAAATAAAAGAATATGAAGGATCAGGTAAATTCAACGGATGATAGTCGTATGATGATGTCCAAGATTGCAAGGCGCAAATGTGTTCTCCCATTTCCTGTTTATGTACACGATTTGGATCATTGCAAGCATAATATGAGGCAGAAACCTACAGTTAGAATCAGGAAACCACGATCCGGGCTTCATAGCGGCCTCCTAAATAAACTAGATAGTGCCAATGTTGCGCTAGTAACAGGTGATTGGAGCGTGTCTCTCCTGAATGTCGAAACGCGTACTTACAATCTACGCGGTGAAGACACATCAGAGTCAGAGCAATCGAGGCGTCAACTCTATTTGCGTTTATTATCAGCGGAGTCAATAAGTTCTCGGATATCGACAGAAAATGTTGCTTCGACGCAGTGTTTAGATACAATGAAATCCACAAATCAAAACCCAGTATATAGTAAAAAAATTGATGATAATTCCTCACACAGCCTTGGTCGTGACAGTGCGGTGTCTCTGGTTCCTATCACGATGAAAGTGTGTCCCCTTGAAACCGCGGTCGCGTCATGGCTCACAGATACGGATACCAAGAAACCTGTGATGATCAGGATGAAATCAAAATCAGGTAAATCGCCTGTTATACACGTACAATCTCTCTCAAGATCTACGACTATGGCGGCTACTGGGCCAGTAGCAGGGCGTGCAGGGTCCAAATCAAACGATATCTTCTATGGGCGTAGTGGTATTTGCAAGAAAAGTCAAACGAAAAGCTTCAATACGGGTTCAGCCGAGATACTCAATTCGGCGCTAGCTTCACACAGCGGGGATATTCAAATTGAGAAGAAACTGGGACACCTTGTGGTGGACTTCAGTGACAACTATGCCACACCCCCAGTCACACGCACTAAGTCGGGAATGAAGGTCATTAAAATTCCCGCACGCGTCGATAAGCAAGCGATTGCCGATGAGACTATTAGTATTGATGATAGAATAGATGACGATTACTGGTTGCAGGAAGACGAGGATGATTTGTCTGTCAACTGTACATCAATCACAGCGCGCTCGTGTGCGCCTATAGTATCGAGAAATGCCGCCGATGTCGAAGGCAAGCACAAGGGGTTAAATCTGACTGAAATGCTTGGGGAGGACATGACTTTCATCGAGTTTTATGAACTTCTGCGTACCTCAGCCTACGGCTGTTGCCCTTATAAAAGTCAAGAAGAGTTATTCGCGGAGTCTAAGCAACATACGCAAGTATCAAGGTCGAATACTCAACATCGATCGATGAATAAAATAAACACAGTATACCTTTGCGATGGATGTGAGCATATTGATGCAAATTTAGAGATATCTCTTGCTGACACACACACACACACACACACACACATATATATATATATATATATATATTTATGTATATATCACTTGCTGGATGGTTAACGAAACTCTTTGCCGAGCGCCCGTCCAGCATGTACGTAAGGTGAAGCAGCTGTTGCAGTCGTAATACAACGAGGATTCCTCGCACAGAATACTCATTGAGATATAAAGTACACTAATTAATTTTAATTGTTTTCTTGATTAGCCAGATTCGCAGATGAATTTCCACCTGCTCCACTTGAGTACACTACCGAGGTCATTGCATTAGTTCGGCAAATTGCTTTTGCACCGGCGGACTGACAGTGCTTAATAGATTTTGGAAGCCATTCTGATCAGTATTCGCAAGCCCTGTCATGCGTGTCTGTATCGTATTCTTGAGCGACATTCGGTACACAGCGTCGTTGTGTTGCATCTGTAGTAAATATTGTGGTGAAACAACGGCTTAGTATGATATGCTTGCTGTGTGGCAATCTCTGTGACAGTTGCAAAGGTCAGTATGCTGAATGCTAGCTTGTACATGTTGAGTGGGAAGAATCTGCTATAGCATTGACAATCTGTAAGGTCGCGTGCAAGAATTTTAAATGACCACATCTTACTATCTACAGCTGTTCATTCCCACAAAAGCACTGCACTTGAAGGCGTGCTACTGGTTACATAAAAATGCTCTGCATATCAACCACACAGTACATCACAGATCGCAAACGATCTAGATATTTAATAATGCTCACCAGCAAGCGTTCATTGTTGAGTTGAACCCACATACCAAACGCTCCCTCGACGTCTCGCCCAATTCTCCGGGTTCCGGCGCCCACGTATCTAAATCATTATTCATCACCAGACAACTGTGCAACAGAAGTAGAGTCATATAAGATGAGAAACAATGGCTAACAACAAGTTAAGAGCTCTTAGGCCATTTCTAGGATTCGAACGCCATGGGACAACAACAACGATTAAACGTTGTACATCACTTTGGAATCTACCGTTTGCCGCACATTTACCGTACGAACAAACAAACATTCCAGCCACTCTGTATCAACACTTCAACCCTTATGATGTCTGTTATACAGGCCAAGTACTAACACACACCCATCTACTAGCACTCAACTGAACTTACTCGTCACTCCCATTCTCGTTCGCCAAAGATCCGAATATACTAACGAGCGCATCAATAACCATAGGGAACTCCTCTGCCAACACCTGAGCATCTCGCCTGGCCACCAGCTCTAGTACTACCGGTGCAGCCAGACCAATCAATTTCCTGGAGTGGTAGCTAGATGTCTGGTCTAACCTCCTAACCCATCCCTTAAGTAACACGCAGAGCCCATAACTCGTCGCTTCCTCTTGTGTATTTATGTGTGTAGGTATCCTTTTCGCACCCGGGTGTGTGGCGTGTGATGATGTGTTAGCAAACGAGTCCATTGTGGCTCTGGCAGCGGCACTGCGATCACCCTCAACACCACTCGCAACATTCACTGGTCCGTTCTGTGTGTCATTTTGTATTTGTATGTTTTTAGTGGCTACCACGGCCTCAGCTAAGATAGAACACAGGTCTTCGGTGGGCAATTGCACAGCTATACGCGCCAATATCAGCGAGAATGACACGAGCACATCTGTGCCGTCTGATTGGTTCTCAGCCAACATCCGAGTCGCCATGGCAACCACCACACTCCGCATGGGGCCACGTGCGACTCCTACACCGCCGATAACCAACGCGCAGTCTATGAAATCGACTATTAATTTGCAGCCCGAATCCTTCCAGGCGGCGAGGGCTTGGACGAGACGCTCGCATAAGTTATACTGCAGCATGGAAATTGTAGATAACGTGGTCAGAACGGCGAGAGTGGCATGATAGTAGCACTTGGTTGAACGGCATCTCGTGTATGTTTTTTTTCCAAATGAGAGAACAAGAAACTAGTAATTTATTGAAGAAGAAGGAAGATTTCTCAACGATAGGACAAATGCTATGTATGCACTAAGCGTGTTCATCGACACACGTACACACCACATGCGTCTGACCGATACTCTCGGCGGCTGAGGCCACAGCTGGAGACGTGGTTGCCATGGCAACGAGAGGGACTTGTTTGGATCCAGGGAAAAAGAGATCCGGGATAACAAGTAGATAACTGCGCAGTACCGCCATTACATCCCGCACAACCTCCGAGCCCACGTTCTCAATCAAACTGATAGTGCGCGGATACACATTCAGAATGGGTATTTGTGGTGCATCCAGCTGAGTAGACGATGATTGCAGAATATATGAATAAAAATGAGCATGGTCATTTGAAGAAAAGTAAGTTGGTATAGAAATCGAATTTGAAAAGTACGAATTAACACACACACACACACATATATATATATATACATACATACAAATACCTTTATATACCTATATATTCATATACAATATAATATATATTCATATACATATATATATATATATATATCTATATATCCAACTATATATATATATATATATGTCATCATGGCGATTATCTATAATCTGTAAATGCTGCGCGGAATAAGAAAAGAAGGAATGCGACCATCGGAGCAAATGCATCGCATACAAACTATTGCATCTGTCATGCGCAGGCACAGGCAAATGTATATACTCACAAACTCTCACCAACGCACGCACTACTACAACTTTAAGCGCACCTGGCGGACCACTCGTTTCCATAGCAACACGGAGTCATCCAACAAGTACACGTGCGCGGGATTAGTGACATCCGAACACGTGGCTATGATCTGGCACAGCGGATTCAGCAAACAAATCTCGTTTGCGTTTCCATCGGTAACAGAGGCACCCACACTCTTGCCCATGCTCTCCACCAAGGATGAGATGTTGCCGACCAGACACACCTGAGAGGACGGACGGGGAGTATATATGAGACAGCATAGTCAGATTTGATTCAAAACAGAAGTAAGGGTGTATGCGGGATTCGGGAAGTAGCACGTGAACACACATTGTGCATACGTCAGCGCCCAACCGCTAGCCCACGCTCTCCTTTAAGGACAAGAGTAACCACATAGACACACCGGTGCGAGTGGACGGTCAGCGGGTTTTCATAGAGGTATGTGCGAGCATGTTAGTATATGGGTAATACAAGTCAGTGTGTAGCGAGTGTACACACACAAGATGCGTTCTGAAGCACTTATTTTGTCTTGCCGGGCCTTCCACTAGTGATTCCCATGAGAGGGAACATAAGATGCAGATACATATCTGCGAGAATGTGATAACGAGCATGCACGTAAGTCGGTCTCAGATACATATCTGCGAGAATGTGATAACGAGCATGCACGTAAGTCGGTCTGCGCGTAGGATTTTAGGGTTAGGGGTTTACTGCATGGATGTATGTAAACGTGGGACAGTCGCCACGACCGGTATAGGTATTGGCCTGTAGTTTCTTCTCTTAACCAGCACAACACCTTCACATTCACCTCCCAAAATCCACGGCTAACTCCGGCATTGATACAAACCTCACACACACATACACACACACACACACAGCTCTACAGATAAACATGTATAACCAAATGCATCGACACTGGGCACAGCACACACCTGGTACAGATCATTGATACAAACCTCATACACACACACACACATACCCAGCTCTACAGATAAAAATGTATAATCAAATGCATCGACACTGGGCACAGCACACACCTGGTACAGATGATGGTCAGTAGCTTCTTCCCAGAGCTGGAACAACACCTTGGCGATCTCCCAACCCAACCCAGGGCTGCCATCAGCATTGAGCGCAACCGTGCTGAGTTGATGGCGACACCGTTGCAGCACCACAGCCAGCGACTGCAGCACACGCATACGCGTCTCGTCCTCGTCCGTGTTGGTCAGGAGCGAAAACACGGCGCTGATTGTGGGCGTTATGAAGGGCTCGAAAGAGTCTGTGAGGCGAGAGAGTGAGTTGCATTGAGTGTGGAGATTGGGGGAGTGTGTATGTACTTCTTCCAGAGAAATACACTTGGGGATCCGCTCGTAGTCACGTGTCTCGATGTCGTCACTCACTGTAGCCATGACTATGATTTGTAATTGAAAGCTCGCCACATCTACTGCGTGGCGGGGTTTCAGTGTGTGTATAACCGGAGACGCATATTTCAGCGTACCTATGGACTGTTCATAGAATGATCACGATCCGATGAGTGTGCTGCTATAGTGCTTTTGTTCTTGTTTCTATCGAGGTTCTCTCCAGTTCCTGGACTTCGCACCCAGCGCAGTCTTATTCATACAGAACGAGACCATAGCGAGATATACGCTTGCACAGATATCACACATCCGGCATACCCCGCAGTTGATCTATCAGTATATACAAACATAAACACACTCGCGTATTCAGTTCTTTCATACCTCGTGAGTGGACTGCGTATATTAAATCTATGTGGTCACGCCGGACACACATGTGCACCCTCAACACTATATATATATATATATATATATATACACACACACACACACACACACACATAATATATATATATATATATATATATATATAACGAACGAGTACTTACAT